ACTTCGATATTGTTGAGATCCAACAAACCAAACTCATTGGGTCCCAGATTATTTGGAGCCTAGATATAATGTTTGTTCTATCATTGTGGAGGTTCTTTAGTATTACTCAATAAAAATAATGGGAAGTCCAGTCCACGTAACGAACGTATTTATTTCTCCAATCACGTTCTATACAGGCTTCATTTATTGACAGGCCTAATCTCAGATACAACGTTTCACAGAGATTCCAAAACTAATGTACGCCTAACTCACAAATAAAGCTCAAGTCAATCACTTACGTGCAAAAATTCCTCACTAACTCATGGATAACAAACATGCTGACTGGCTATCTTACAAACTCGATCACTAACGAACAGACGCACTAACTCTCACTGTATAACTCAACAAGTAACGCTGAACTGATTAACTAACCCTAACTTACTCGATCTGGCATTTTTACATCGTAATAGTTTTTTGTTTTGTTTTTTACATACTATAGAGAGCTTCGAGATTCCACAAAGACAAACTTTCACAAAAGTTTAGACTTAACACAATCACTACTTTATAAAAACAACCTCTCGTAAACAAAACATTCAAATTATAAAACTATAGTCTACGACAACAGTTATTAAAAAACAGGTAAGGAAACTATCGGTAATTTTAGGGTTAAAATGAACGCAACGTGTACCCTGTAGAATATCAACATTGCTGTCTTTGGTGATTGGCTTAAAAAGTTACGTACTCGTGTTCTTTCCTCAAAATAACACCTTCAGCGGAGGATTAGATATCAATTTAGGCTTAATTCTACAATAGAAACTGACGGTGTACTATTTCAGAAATACATATTGAAAAATTGACACTAATTTATAGAGAAATACCCTCTGTAAAAACATAAAATACATACTAGTAGTTGTTAAAACAGAACCTAAGAAGTGAATGTTTTTTTCTGTAATCTATACCATAATTAAAAGTAATAATTAACCTCAAGAGAAAAGAATAAATTGCTCGTTTCTCTACCTCAGTACTGGATCAACATAGAATCGATATTCCCAGGATGTCAGCCAAATGATCAAGGCACTAATGATGACGATCACAGATCCTAATGCATCAGCTAGGACATGAAGAAAAACTCCTTTCATGTTCATCTGGCTACTGCTTACTGAAAACAAGATGATTTTATTACCACATGCTGTTGTTGAATGGGTATTAATTTTGACTAGTTTCACCACGTACCAGATACAAGTTAGCGTGTTCTTCGCATTGGATTGTGATATAATTAATTTAAGATTTCATTACAACAGGATTTCTGCTTAGAGGTACGATTAAGGTTTTTGTATTACACACGTGGCTGATAATCTTTCCGGACGAGCTACTTGCAAGAGCCACCGATATCTTTGTACATGTGCTGTTACCAAGACAACCTGACGAGTTTAATTACAGTTGTAATAAACGTAAGTATTAACACGAGCTTTTTTTGTGGAATTTCTTAACTATGTTAAAAAGCAAATTTTATACCTAAATTTAGAAAATACCAACAGAGATAACAAGTAGAAACCACGAGAGACTTTCTCGAGTAAAAGTAATGATGAAACGAAGAGTGAAAGAAAAAATAAGAGTATTTATAAAGCTTCTTTTTCTGTCACTCACTAGAAAAATAATAGCCTAAAAGCCTTATGTATATCCTCATTGTGCTTATTCTAAAATATTTATATACAGATGGAGATAGTATTTAATATAATCTGAATGAGAAGAATGAAATTACAAATTACAAATTCTAAACGCAGAAACAATCAATCGATTGTGGAAATCGAAGATAATTAAACTGTCTTCTCAAAGAAAGCTCGAGATTGTATAGATGAAAATTGTCACTGGAGATAACAAGAGGAGCGGAAGGTTTGTTTTACCATAGAGAGTTTGTCAGTGGTGATTGTTGGGGGTAGAATTGATAAAGAAATATTTCTTTGTTGACATTCTCCTTCAACAGTTTTACGACAGAGTTTGTCAGTGGTAGAATGTCAACAAAGAAATATTTCTTTATCAATTCTACCTCCAACAATCACCACTGACAAACTCTGTCGTAAAACTGTTGAAGGAGAATGTCAACAAAGAAATATTTCTTTATCAATTCTACCCCCAACAATCCCCTTCAACAGTTTTACGACAGAGTTTGTCAGTGGTGATTGTTGGGGGTAGAATTGATAAAGAAATATTTCTTTGTTGACATTCTCCTTCAACAGTTTTACGACATATAATGGAAGGGGCTTCAGTGCACTAAACTTCGGTCACTAAACCTAAACACGTGCTTCGTGCACTAAACTTCTGTCACTAAACCTAAACACGTACTTCGTGCACTAAACTTCGGTCACTAAATCTAAACACGTACTTCGTACACTAAACTTCTGTCACTAAACCTAAACACGTACTTCGTGCACTAAACTTCTGTCACTAAATCTAAACACGTACTTCGTACACTAAACTTCTGTCACTAAATCTAAACACGTACTTCGTACACTAAACTTCTGTCACTAAACCTAAACACGTGCTTCGTGCACTAAACTTCTGTCACTAAACCTAAACACGTACTTCGTGCACTAAACTTCGGTCACTAAATCTAAACACGTACTTCGTACACTAAACTTCGGTCACTAAACCTAAACGCGTACTTCGTGCACTAAACTTCGGTCACTAAACCTAAACGCGTACTTCGTGCACTAAACTTCGGTCACTAAACCTAAACGCGTACTTCGTGCACT